CACACATTGTTGTCAATATAATGGAATTTTATGCGACTGTCATACAAGTGAGAGGTTTAGCTAGCTATAAAACCAGGTTTAATACACTATTTTCTACACAAGGAAATGCCTGTACCAAGTCAGGAATAAGACAGTTGTTTTCCATTCGGTTGATGTGTTTGAGCTTTTGTTTTTGCCTTTTGATAAAGGACTTTCCGTTTGAACATTCCTTGGAGTTCAGTATTTTTGTTATTTTACTTTTAAGTTGTTGCTGTCTTTCATATTTGTTTTTTTCATTTATAATGTGCAGTATTTTTTTCTTTTGAATTGTTGCACATTTTGATATGTGAAGTATAAACCAGGCCGTTAGTTTTCTCTTTTGAATTGTTTCACATTTTGTTATGTCTGGGGCCTTCTATAGCATACATTTTCAACTGATTTTTATAGTTTGTTCTTATGTTGTGTTGTTACACCACTGTCACAATTTCGGGGGAGGGTTGAGCGCTCACTAACATGTTTAACCCCGCCACATTCTTTATGTGCCTGTCCCAAGTCAGGAGCCTGTAGTTCAGTGGTTGTCGTTGGTTGGGTGTATTCCTTGAAAACCAACATCCTTTTATCTACCGACAACTTACCTGTAAAATTATGTTGGCGTTCGAGGAGTATGTGTAAGTAGTTATCACAACAAAAGTGCATGCTTATTTAAACAATCATACTATTAAACAGATAGGTAAATTACAGGTAGCAAAAGCTCGTTCATGTTTGTCAAGTTGTTGAAAATCATTTTGGACTCATTGGACTTTGGTGTTTTTTTTTCAATATTTCTATAGTTGTTTGTGCTCCCATATTACTTGATGGAATTTTTGAAATTTTGTATCTCGTGTTAGATTACTTTGTTTTATTTTGTTCAGTTGTTCAGGATATTTTTCTTGGTTATAATATTACACCTTTTTTATTGTAAGTGATTCATATTATATTGTTTAGGTGTTTTTTATGTTTGCAACTCATCGGAATTCTTGTTACCCTATTTTATGGATTTTCTTGAATCTTTGTAGAATTGTGGAAGATATTTTCATACTGTTTTCAAATCATAAAAAGAAGAAATAAATCTATTTTGAATAATATATTATTTATTTGTACACAGTGCACACAGAAAACAATACATATGACATACGCAAACATTTAGCAGATTGACAAAAAGCACTACATATGTGATCTGATAACAATTGTTGAATAGTTTATACAAGCACTTTTTACATTTAACAGTCTATTACAAGTGTAAAAGATACGATGCTGAGTCTGCAAACTGTACAGTTGTCATCTCTCTGTTAGCATGTCGCTGTTTCAGGTTACCGAGTCTGGTCTCAATCTCTCTGTATTTTCTTTTTCTGTTGATTCGTTTACCACCGGCGGCGTACTGCAGCATTTGTCATCTGGAATCAGCTTCCTGGCGTTGTAACAGCTTGATCAACTTGTAGATATTTTGGTTTGGAGTCTGGACGATTTTCTTGATCTTTGAGTGCCCCCCTCTAAGTTGTTGGTTGTTCTTTGTCCTACAGTGTTGTAATGGTTCCACAGTTGACGGTTGCCTTCTACCAAGTACTCGGTCACGTAGTCAGTAAAACTTGCGGTGCTGATGTCGGTATCTGCATCCTCTAAGTCTTGGAGAGACTGAAACTAGACGTCCTCCACCTTCTCAGTTGGTACCATTGAAAGAACTGCTGCTCTTCTCACCAGTCTGTGGATGTCCTCGTTGTTCGAATATGGAATTTGCAGGCCACACTCTTGAGTTTTCCGCCAAATACACTTGGTGTAGTGGAAAAAGCAACCTTTCTTGGTAATGCCAGGAAATACTGTAGAGGCTGCATTGTGTGCTGCTGTGTCGAAGTCAAGTACTATAGTCTCTGGTTGAAGTTGAAGTTTGTGTTGTTGACAGTAATCTTTAAGTAGTTGGAAGAATTGGAAGAAACGGATGTAGGTTGCTTGGTCTTTTCCTGGTAGTAACGCAAAGACGAGTGGGTACATAGCTCCATCCACAAAGATGTGTAGGGTGCAAAACTGGTAAAAAGTAGAGGGACAACTGTAAAAGGTACCATCACCATAAAAAGTAGAAGCTGCTGTCAAGTGGCTCAAGTTGAAGTGGGTGCTGAATATCAGAATACAGTCTTGGTCTCCATCGTCAGTGAATAGGAAGTTATCATCAGTTGTCGTCTCTCTCCATTTATCCTCTAAGTTGATCTCCTGTCTTGAACTTGGCAGTTGAGGTATCGTCTTACTGTGCTGGGTGTAGAGTGATGTCTTGCAGGTTGTAAAGGTGGGCATTCTCTGGACTAGTCTTTCAGAGTCGTTGTCCCAGTATCTGTTGCGTAGTCTGACTAATTCGTCTTCATAGATTGTTGTTACTGGAGTGCTTTCAAAAAGACATCTTACTTTCATTCTTTTGAGTACTTGCTCAACATTGAGTTGAACTGGGTCTGATGGATGATTATGCTGATCTCTGATGTTAACTGGTATTCTATTGAGTGTGTTGGTGGTAGCTGTGCAGTCAGATCTTACACATCTCCAGTAGCATCTCTCTCCCCGTTTAGTCTTTACTCTGTACTTGTAGTTGTTGTAGACCAAGTTTTTTTTGCCAAGACAATTCTCAACAAACTTTATATTTAACTGTGCATTAGCCATACTTGAAAAGTGAATGACATGACTTGCCTATCCTCCCCTTTTATGTGCATAATAAAATATTTAAAATGATATGGAATTAGATAAATCTCTAATATCCTTTTATTAGTTTGAAATAATTGTATCTTACTAAAATTTCTTTAATATTTCTAATATGTCTAATGTTGATAAACAAATATCTTTCTTTTTTGATAAAAAGTAATAGAAATGTTTTAATTTATTGATTTTTTTAACATTCATAATAATTTTAACCCCAAAATCTACTTTTTTTTTTAATCAAAAAGTGTTAACATGTTTCAATTAAATACTTATAAAAACATTTAAATAGTTATAAAAACACCTTTTGTTATTCTATCAACATCTATTATTATTATATTATAAATTGGGCAGTTAGTTGTCTCAATTGAATTGAATTGAATTGTTTCATATTTTTATAGCCGACTATATGGTATGGGATTTTCTCATGGTTAAAGGCCGTACGGTTGCCTGTAATTGCTTACATCCACTTTATTTGAACTTTGGTGGATTGTTGTCTCGTTGGCAATCATACCATATCTCCTTATTTGTATATAATTGCGGGTTGCTAGTTATTGAAGGCTGTACGGTAACCTATAGTTTATTAGTTGAGTTCGAATAAAAAAAGTTTGAATCACAAATCAATTTCGAAGAGGAACAACATTGAAAACCAAAAATTCATTTTAGTAGTGCTAAATCTGGATGAGGCTATCCATAGATGTATTGAGCTTGATACATTATCTATGTAGAGGGTAGAAACACCCTTAGTATTTAGATATATTTGAACATTTTAGAACCATGAATTTATAAAAAAAATTACTGAATCAATGATATTACTTTTCGACACAGAAGTAATGACCACTGAGTCGGGGACGAGACTGCCACTATCTGTGGCATAGGCAAGATAAGTTGATAGGTAAATAGATTAGTTATCCTTGATGATTAGTCTTTAATTTTTTATGTAAAGTTTTCGTACTGTTGTTTGTCTTTTCGTCGTTTTTAGTTTTTTGCTATGGCATAGTCAGTTTGTTTTCGACTTATGAGTTTGAATATCCATTCGGCAGCTTTTGTCTCTCTTGTTTTTCAGGTGAATTGCTATGATCAAAGTTACTATCCTGTTTGTTTTTCTCGATGCATGGGCACAAGCTAAACCGTAATATTTGATTTCTTCTATAGTAGCAGAAATGATGCTGCACGTTCAGAAAGAAAACATACTTTTGCTACTTGATTTACAAGGAACTTCGTTTTTTTTTTGTGTAATTACACCTTATATAAGAATGCAATATTTCGATTGAATGGTAGCGCTTCAGTGTATTTTTCGCACATTCTAACCTTTTTTCCTCATTTCAAACGAATTTGCCTGTTTTTACCACTGCCGATGAATATGCCTCAAATTCCCCTGTATGCCGTGGTATTTGTCATTTTTGGATATTCCTTTTATTACCCCTCTCAAGCTTCTTCCCGCCAAAATTATTCGGAATCATTCTCACCTTATCCCGATTATTAAGGCAACATAATTAAGCCATATTGATTGATAGAGGTAATCCGAAAACTGAAACAAAACAGACAACACGACTGCACGGCACCAATCTCGTGATCGTATAAAAAAATTATTGAAGAATGCGTTGTGTATATATAAAGTGGAAAAAGACGTCTATACAAATAATGGAATGACAATGCCGTTTACACATGGATACCATGACGTTACATAAAGACAGCGCTAACACGTATAAAAGAGGGACGAAGATACCAGAGGGACAGTCAAACTCATAGATCGAAAACAAACTGACAACGCCATGGCCAAAAATAAAGACAAACAGACAAATAATAGTACAGATGACACAACATAGAAAACTAAAAACTAAGCAACACGAACCCCACCAAAAACTGGGGGTGATCTCAGGTGCTCCGGAAGGATAAGCAGATCCTGCTCCACATGTGGCACCCGTCGTGTTGCTTATGTTATTACAAATCATGTATAATTCCTGCGGTACTATGATAGTCTCTTCTTATCCTAAAAATTATGCATAAACATATGTATGGGTTACAGCTTACGAGTAAAAAAAAAAGATTTCCCTTCACCTGTACAGAGAGTTTCAATCAAAATCTATTCGGTGTAATAAAACAGATATATCATGTTATGGAGGGGTATTTTTCGGAAATACCCCTCCATAACATGATATATCTGTTCATAATATTTTACAGATGTATTATTTCCATTTTTCAGGCATTGTCAGAATTTACGTCCGTCCATTTACTTTTTCTTCTTTTCCTATAAACATTGAATTATCATGTATATAATATTTTTCATGAGCACAATCTTTTTTCAGCAACTGTGTAGACAACATTCATTAACAAGTAACGAAGAAGAAAATCTCGGTGCAATAAATTGTAGTCTACAGTACAACAAAGAGACTCACCTGTTGTCTGTAAATATAATTCAAGCAGAAGATCTCGTGGCATGTGATGTCATTACCGGTACCTCGAACCCATACTGTAAAGTATCATTATTACCAGACCATAAAAGTCAACTTCAAACCAGAGTCCACAAGAAAACCTTGGCCCCAAAATTTGATGAGGAGTTTATATTTGACATATCTCCATCAAAGCTACCAAACTGTTATCTAGAAATTTTAGTTCTTCATTATGATCAATTTTCCACACATGATTGTATTGGTGAAGTCAAAATTGCCTTACTGGACAGTTTGAATTTAACAGATAAAGTGGAAATGTGGAAAGGAATTTCTCCATATCAAGAAGAAGGGAACAAAACTGTTAGTATGAAGAAATAAAATATATTTTGACACCATCCTTAAAATTTAATTTCTATCTGAAATGGAAATATCATCATTTTGTTAGTCTTATATGTCTTCTTTTGTCTAATTGGTAATTATTTCACAACTGCTACAATGAGTATATACAAAAAGATGACTTAAAATTACTTTATTTTCTATATCTGTTACAGCCTTAAGCTGGATGAAAATTAAAAATGCGAATGTGATATTTGTATTGGATTTTAAATACATTAAGGAAACCAAATTAAATGTCAAACTACTTGGAACAAAACCATTAAAAGGGTATGACTAATGTCAACTGATTGAAACAAAACCATCAATAGGGAGATAAATTAATGTCAAACAAATTGAAAAAGGGCATAAAAAATTATTAACACGCTCGGAACAAAACCACCAAAAAGACATTTACAATTATTAAAAGCCTTAGAACAAAACCACCAAAGGGCCTAACATTTATTAAAAGGCTCGGAACAAAAACCAACAAAAAGACATTTACAATTATTAAAAGCCTTGGAACAAAAGCACCAAAAGGGCCTAACAATTATTAAAAGGCTCGGAACAAAATCATCAAAATGGGCCTAACAACTATAAAAAGGCTCGGAACAAAACCATCAAAAAGGGCCTAACAATTATTAAAAGGCTCGGAACAAAACCACAAAAAAGGGCCTAACAATTATTAAAAGGCTCGGAACAAAACCACTAAAAGCCCTTATCAATTATTTAAAGCCTTGGAACAAAACCACCAAAAAGACTTTAACAATTATTAAAAGCCTTGGAACAAAACCACCAAAAAGGACTTAAACAAAAACCCCTCTTGTGCTGACGTGTTGAATATTACATCTATTTGCTATTTAGAGCCATATAATTTATAAACTAGTAATATTCTTGAACTATATCTTTTAAATTATGTTTCGAGAGTCCATTAGAAGATTTATCGACGCAGTGATTAAAATAAATTACAATATTCATTCGAATACATTGTGTCGTAAATCCTTACCCAAGTCATCGTCCCTCAGCTGAAGTAATTTCATACCTTTTTTTCAGAAAGATGTTGGTGAAATAATGTTTTCCTTGAGTTATCTTTCAAGTGCAGAAAGGTTAACTGTTGTTGTGATGAAAGCGAGGAATCTAAAACTGGCAGCAGACGAAAGTAAACTTTTAGGTACGTTATATTAAAGTCAATGAAACAAAGATAATGTTTACTTACTACACACTTTAATAACTAGTATCAAGATTTAACTCATTATAATATTTTAATTTGGTGACATCTTATGCGTTGTATGTTTTCAATCTGACAATGCTTCTTGTGTGGTATCGTGGTATCGTGGCATCACGCGCACATTTCCGTTTATATGATATTCCTGCACATGCTCTCAATATTATGAAGGGCAGTTCGGGTCAAAATTCATTTTGTTACACGTACGCTAGAGGTAGGCGTAAGAGGTCGTTCACGTACCCTAGAGGTACATGTAACACTTTGTTCACGTACCCTAGAGTTACGCGTAATAGTTTTTTCACGTACCCTGGAGGTACGCGTAACTTAAATTCAAGTATCCTGTGATATTTTATTTTTTAATGACATTGAATGAAAAAGTTTTCTTTTTGTCATTTTAACCAACGTCGATAACACCAAATATCCATTATGGCATATATGAGTTTGTTGACGTGAACAAAGTGTTACGTGTACCTCTAGGATACGTGAACGACCTGTTACGCGTACCTCTAGCATACGTGTAACAAAATGAATTATGACCAGAACGGCCCTTCATACTATGTGGCTATTTAACTGTAAGGGGTACATGTAAATCCTAATGTCGAACAAATCTCCAGAAATGTAATGAGAACGACTGAATTTTTCACGTCACAAATAACACGGTTGCGATCACGAATTAGACTACTGTGTCTGGGATTCTAAATCAGAAATAGACATGTGCTAGCCACAAAACCAGGTTCAACCCACCATTTTATTCTTAAAATGTCCTGTACCAAGTTAGGAAAATAGCCATTGTTATATTATAGTTCGTTTCTGTGTGTGTTACATTTTAATGTTGTGTTTCTGTTGTGTCGTAGTTCTCCTCTTATATTTGATGTGTTCCCTCAGTTTTAGTTTGTAACCCGGATTTGTTTTTTTTTTCTCAATCGATTTATGAATTACGAACAGCGGTATACTACTGTTGCCTTTATTTACTGTCATCGATCCCATAAGTGTTACGTTTTTTGCTTGGTTTTTACATGGCTTTGGAATAGTATGATGTATGACGCATGCACAGGAGACATCTTCTGTAAACATTTTGAATATAGTTTCTAAAACAGTTCGTAAAAACCGTTCTCATGGACGTAAAATAAATTGCAATCAAAGAAAATTTCGTAATAACAATACAAATATTTCGGACCTAATTTCGATTTCAAAAAACAACGGTAGACATTATCTATTAACCAAGCTCTGTTCTTTGCCTGTTAATAAATTACATCACTATTCGATAGTGGATATACGTATTCAACATTTTAAAGATCATTTTACTCCTAACAACAACCATAATAGCCCAATTTCTCGTATCAAACATAAGCTAAAAGAACTCGCCAAGGAAATTGTTTTTGTCCCGGCTGATAAGGCTGCTAACAATATCATTATTGTTTAACGTAAATTATACATTGAGGTTCTACAAAAAGAAATCATGAATTCAACCAACATTCCAACTGACTCCATTTTCGGAAAATAACATCTGTGACAAACATAAACTTTTAGCTTCCTCCTTACAAGCAGAACCAAATACAATGAAAGTTCCAACTATGTACTGGCTTCCGAAGCTGCACAAAACTCCTTACAGATATAGATTTATTTCGTCTTCAAGCCATTGTTCCACTAATAAACTATTTATTCTACTTACTAGTACACTTGGTACAATCAAAATCCTGGTGATAAATTGTTCAAATACGGCCTTTGAAAATAGTGGAGTTAATTACTTTTCGAGTGTCAAAAATTCGTTGGAAGTACTTGATAAATTGCATGCTTATATTGGTGATTTCGAATCTGTTCAAAGTTTTGATTTTTCTACCCTATATACCACTTTGCCTCATAATCTTATTAAGAAAAAATTCACACACCTGATTAAATGGGCATTTAAAAAGTCGGAAAGCGAATGTATATGTTAAAACTCTTTTATGTCACTTTTTAGTAACAACAAACAAAAGAACTATGTCAATTGGACCTGCTTTGATACTATAACTGCCCTTGAATTTTTACTAGATAACATTTTTGTTCGCTATGGAGATGCCGTATATCGTCAGGTTATCGGAATTCTCATGGGGACTAACTGTGCACCACTTATTGCGGACCTGTTTATGTATTGTTATGAGTTACAATTAATGGCAAAAATCAGCAAAGACCCATTAAAACAACATCTGATTCAAAAAAATAATAATACTTTTAGATATTTAGATGATACATTGGCTCTCAAAAATGACGACTTCAGTATGTACACTAAAGAGATTTATCCTGCCGAACTGACTTTAAATAAAACTAATACTAACAATGAACACTAAAATTGAGAATGGAAATGGGGAATGTGTCAAAGAGACAACAACCCGACCACAGAACAGACAACAGCAGAAGGCCACCAACAGGTCTTCAATGCAGCGAGAAATTCCCGCACCCGGAGGCGTCCTTCAGCTGGCCCCTAAACAAATATATATACTAGTTCAGTGATAATGAACGTCATACTAAACTCCAAATTGTACACAAGAAACTAAAATAATACACAACTGCCTTTTCCTGGATCTGGATATCTATACCTTTAACGGGAAGCTTAATACCAAAATTTATGATAAAAGAGATGATTTTTCATTTCCTATTGTTAATTATCCATTTTTAGATGGTGACGTTCCCTTGTCACCATCTTATGGTGTTTATATATCTCAACTTGTTCGATTCGCTCGTGTATGTAACAACGAATTTGATGTCAACGAAAGAAATCTCTGTGTTACTGAAAAATTATTACACCAGGGTTTTCGATATCTCAAACCAATCAAAACATTTACTAAATTTTATCATCGGTACAAGGACATCATTCGTAAATATAAATCAACATGCAGACATCTTATACGTTCAGGTATTTCACATCCAATATTTTATATGGTAATATTCTTTACAAAGCACAAAAATGTCGGCATTCACCTCAAAAGCTAACCAAACCCTAAAACAGACTTGCTCGGAAAGGATATAGTTACGATACTGTTGTCAGGTCATTAAGGATTACATATTTTGGTTATAGTATTGATTCACTCATAGGGTCTTTGCATCTGAAATAAACACATTTATTCTAAAACCAGTTGTTGGCATGATACAGGTTATGTTCTTCTCATATATTTTATGATGGTATGATACTTAACCCCTAACGGGAGTGATCGTGCTTGATTTTCATAGGATGAAGACATAATCTTTCAATTAGTTTAATTGAGGTCTGGAGCTGGCATGTCAGTAACTGCTAGTAGTCCTTTCTTAATTTATGTATTATTGTCATTTTGCTTAGTTTCTTTTGTTACCTATTCTGACATCGGACTCGGACTTCTTTTATACTCAGTTTAATGTGCGTATTGCTTTGTGTTTCTTTATTCTACATTGGCTAGAGGTATAGGGGGATGGTTGAGATCTCACAAAACATTTTTAACCCCGCCGCAATTTTACGCCTGTCCCAAGTCAGGAGCCTCTTGTCTTTGTTAGTCTTTGTATATTTTATTAATTTTAGTTCATTTATTTTTTGGAGTTAGTGTGACGTCCATTTTCACTGAACTAGTACACAATTTTATTTAGGGGCCAGCTGAGGACTATCTCCGGGTGCGGGATTTTCTCGCTGCGTTGAAGACCCATTGGTGGCTTTCGGTTGTTGTCTGCTCTTTGGTCGGGTTGTTGTCTCTTTGACATATTCCCCATTTCCATTCTCAATTTTCTCTTACTTCATTTTAATTTCATGCAAAATGACGGTGCACTCCTGTATTCATGTTTATACCTACTCTTATAATTTTTGACTAAATAAAATCGGTTACCTTATATTATGCTTTCTTGATAAGTGTGTTCAGAAGGTAATTAAATTTTTGCTTTTCTTCTAGCTCTATCATGATTATTCTTTGTTTAAGAAATTCATCACATAAAGCTTCTGTCATTTTCTTTTTGTGTTTTGATAGTAGTCATTGAATGCTCAATGAAGAAGAGTATTAAGCAAGTTTATCTTCAAGCGCTGACAGAAATTGTCAGTTGAATTTTGAAAGATCGATGTTATATAATTTCTTACACCAAAACCTGATTTTCTCTCAGCTAATCTAGAATATTTAATAACCATGTAATATCATGTAACTGTTGACATTTCTGCTGTTTACTTTGACTTTATTTCCATCCACATCTAACTAGTAGTTGAACATGCCCTAATTAACCATACCATGACATAGTTACAAATTATACTTGAATAAAAATTATGATTCATGAGTCAGATTTGTAAATTAAGTCTCAGAATTTGAATGTTTACAAATATTTTGAAATTATTGTAATATTCTTGATAAATCAAATCAATGACCTGCACGCGTGATCTCACGGTAAACAACATTCTTCAAAATTGGCATTTGCTGCTTCTGTGCTACACAAGCTGCATTCAATAAGTAAGATCACTGATTGTTTGAGTAAGAGTCAGAATAATAGGTCCAGGTAGGGTGACATGTCATCTTGCGGACTGAAACCTTGTGAAGTAAGCACGTTAAAAATCTGGCGAAGCGTGTTGATATTATAAAAAAAGGTTAATATTCCTATTACATTATCATGTCATCTTCAAAGTTATGAAAATGACATAACCGTTAATTTTAATTGTAAGATTTGGGGATTCCAAAATTATTGAATTACAATTTGAAAGTTTATTCAAGACCACGTGTCCACTGAAATGAGTATCACACGTTTATATCACGTGACTCATCAGTGAAAGTATTATCACGTCTAGTAATTGAATTAATAGTGAGGGTAAAAGTATGACATGGATTCAGACTTTTGAATATTAGTTTGTGACAAATGCACTAATTACTGCCAAATTGAAATTGTAGAGATTTTAATGACAGGGATTCATATGCAGACGTCTGGTATTGTTAATTGACAGGGATCTAAATACAGACACTTGGTATTGTTTCGATACAAATGCATTATCTGTTGAAACTTTGGATGACAATATTATTTTTTTAAATAACATTGAAACGATTTTTTTTTTGATTTTTTAAAAAATGACAGTTACTTAATTTGTTACCTCAAAGTGCTTATGTAAATTAAATGCTATCAGTTTTATTCATGGTAAAAATTTGAAAAGTTGAGATATGTATATGATTTAATCTGTACCACAAAAAACAAAAAGGAATCTAATGAGATCCCGCAATATCACCTATGCAGAGGAAAGCTGCTCGAATGAATTTTTTTTAAATACAAATATTGATCTTTCTCCCGTTTTCCCCGTCCGTCCGTTTGGTTATTGTTTTTTCGTGCGTCCGTGTGCTTTTCGTGTGTCCAACTCCTTTTTTAAGTTTACATAGAATCTTTAGTATATAATTGCATTGGGAAACTTCTATTTTATTTGATTATCCAAATCGTTTTGTGGATTTCCTACATGGTAGACATCTTGGACACGCAACTCTTTCTAAAAAAAAGAATTCAATGAACCTTTCATAGACTCATTCTTACTTTATGAAATTTTGCATCTCCGATCCAAATAAGTTTGAGGTTTCTCAACAAGACATGAAGGTTTCTTAATCCTTACAAACGGAAGGGATGTATGTATCTATGAGTTCTGTTTCTAATTTTTCTAGTTTATTTTTATTTTTTGGCAGATCCATACGTAAAAGTATCAATCTTATGTGATGGAAAAAGAATTAAAAAGAAAAAGACATCGACAGTGCACGTGACACATGAACCAGTTTGGAACGAAGCTCTTGTTTTTAATATTGGAAAGGAACTATTAAAAAGACTTTCAGCAGAATTTCAAATTTTTCATGACAATACAATTGGAAACGATGAACTGGTAGGCAGAGTGAAAATTGGCTACGATACACAAGGTGATGGGAAGATTCATTGGAACGATTTGATGGCAAGTAACAGTGCTGTTCCTCGTTGGCACGAGCTTCAAGAATGACAGCCATATCTCGTGTTCTGTTATTTGGATTTCTATTGTGATAAATGAATAATCCTTATATTAGGTCATACGCTTACTTCCGCCAGTGGACGAATGGTAATCATTATAAGAACTGCCACAGTCAGTAGAAGAGAGTTGTTCCGCAACATAAACTTTTCTGTATTATGAAAACATATTTGGTATACATTCAGTCTATTTTATTCGCTAAATAATTATGCAAAATATATATAGATACCTGCAAAAGAATCATGTAGCCAAAATATTTAACTATATATAGAGTTTCTTTTTTTTTTCATTTTTATTTACAGAACTATAGGGCATGTACTTCTTACTCTGCTATATTTTGAAGACTTTCATCTTTATGATTATATGTTTATATCCTATATATAAAAAATAAGTGAAAATGAAGTGGATGTAAGCAATTATAGAAAACCATACTTCCTTTAACAATGAGAAAAACCCAAACCGTATAGTCGGCTATTAAAGGCCCCGACATGAAAAATATGAAACAATTCAATTGAGAAAACTAACGGCCTAATTATAACATAACAATTTACGAAAAACGAATATGACAGACATGAACCAACGACAACCACTGACCTACAGGCTCATGACTTGGGACAGTCACATAAAGAATGTTTGTGATATGTTTATACTTTAATAGTCCATTTTTCTTATATACATATTTAAGAATGAAATATTAGAAATCCCAAATTATTATGTGGTATTTGATTTTATATCCCTTATTTTTTAATGAGAAATCTGGCAGTTATCGCGTGTTTTTTTTTTTTTACATTTTTAAAATTTCCTGTTTGACGCTATAGTAAACATTTATCTTACAATCTGTCCTTTCTTTAAAAAAAGATAGATATATTAATTTCAAAATGCATATGAAATACAGATGTCATTTTCGGAGTCCCTTTGGAATCTACATTATAAAACTAAACATAACATAACTTGACAACGTAATTAAAAAAAAGTCAGATTTTTGATATATTTGTTTTTAATTTATAGAACTAAGACAGACTATATTTATGTTTAAGCTCAATCTACGCGTACAGTGGTTTTTATCGTTAATTGTAAACCCTTATTTTTTGGTTATTTTCTAATTACCTCATTTCTTAGGCTATGAAATGACTTTTTGAATGCTCTCCAACAACTTCGATGCAGTTCTTTTGATTAATTTTGTCTTTTCCAATTTGCCGATATTATCACAAAAAGTATTTTGTGGATACAAAATTTCAAACTTACAAAAATAACTGTCAACCGGTCTTAAAAGTTTAAAACGTGCTTTTACTTGTTAAATAATTAAAAAAAATGCTCTTAATCTATCTAGCTGACACTAAAGATGCAGGTCAACGAGTTCCAAATGCATACATGGTTTCATAAACATTTGAAATACAACTCACTTATGTATACTTCGCATCAAAATCTAACTATAAAAATTGAATGCGTCTCTCCGTAGTTTAAATTTGCACATCATGCAAAATGTGCTAAATGCCGACTACAAAAAGCAGAATTCAATTCCTAATAAGACAGACCGCCTCTCTAAAGGCGTAAATGGTAAGATTGCCATTTACTGTATTGCTACATTTATATTCACTGATGTGACAAGTAATCTCTGTCGTAATGTGATTATATCAAAAGAGTTCCTCTAATGCGACAATTCATAAAAATAATTCCATTTCAAAAGAACAACTGGCCGTAAAATGACCTAGCTACAGCCCATTATTTAGCTGAAGTGCCAACTTTCAGCTACATTCAGGAATGTATTTGTATAATTTAATGATTAAGCAAAACTTGTATCAATCTGGTGTCTTCTATTAGCAATTAATAAAGACAGGCATTTATTAAAGGTTTCTTCCTTCTGTTCAGCTTGCTTTCATATGGTATTGGCCTTTATCATATACATTTACAAAAATCTAAAGTGATATGTCAGCAGTCTAATCATAGACTGTCGAATAACCAATTTAGGACCCGTGCAAGATACCTAAATAATGTGATATGCTGATTGTGTTGATGCTCTTACTAGAACATTCTTCTCATAAAAGTTTGCTATTTTTCCTAATTTCAATATTCATTTTAAACATTTTCTTTTCTATCTGGCCTATTCCTATTTTTTAAAACAGCTATATACTTATAGATTTTCCTTAAATATGGAATCAATCTTTATTTTACAGTTGTACCGTTTTGAATATTAAATGACAGTTTTTATTGATTGTATGTATGTATTATGTATATATTCGTATAGAGGTAATCTTGCCAACACTATCATATTTTTCATTTGTTCACATAACACAGTAAAGGTTAATTACAAGCTTAAACAAATTTAAACTAAAATATATTGTTGATAAATAAAAAACACATCATAAATTCAATTTCAGAAGTAGAGACTCAAAATCCACGAGTAGATCTTCTACGCTAAATCAAAAATGAACATTTTTGAACATGAATCCAAAGCACTTTCTGTATATACCTTCGTCAGCAACGTTGATGTATAAGAAGCGAAACATTTGAAGAGTTAAAGCTAGTTTAGACATTTTTTTTATCATAAAACTAGCATCTTGTTGTTAATCTCTATCCAGCATGTGTCATATGCGCTTAGTTATAAATTGCATCTTAATTTGGCGAGGAAGTTAATTATGTGTATATGTTGTCTGTTGAATGAGAAGCCTGTTTCAGAGATTATTGTACATTTTGTTGATCTATATACCTCACCGTATTACCGGCTATCGCTTCAATGGGATATGTCTTCTCAATTGTCATTGCTAGATGTCGGGTACATCAGATTTTTGTCTGCTAATCATTTGGATTTTGCAATCGTGTGCATTAGATTTTGATCTGTGTAATCTATTGCATCTACAGCCGATTGCTGGTAATAGGATGTCTAAAAACTGAATGACTTATAAACTTTCCTTGTTATATTGGAGAAATAAAATTTTACAATTCAACATTTGAATGTGTTTTATTAATATTATTTATATAAAGATTTTCGTCATGTTTTAGTCGACTGAATGTACCCATCCAAATGACACACATTTTTACTTTTTTGATTCGAGCGTCACTGATGAGTCTTTTTTAGACGAAACGCGCGTCCAGCGTACAAAATTTCAATCCTGGTATCTTTGATGACTTTATTCTATGATCTCTTAGTTTATGAAACGTGAAGGAACATTCGAGGTATTCAAGATTTGAAATTCGATCAATATCTAAATCGCATTCTCGAAACCGAATTTTTCGGAGTATACTATCAGACGAATGAAATTAAATGTATTTTAACAATTAAGGCGTCTTTTTTATACGCCTGTCAAAGACGGAAGTATATAAATTTCACCACTGCATCAAGTGTGATACAGTATTTCTACATTCGAGACAGTTAAATTTTCAAATTCAAAAAGCGAGGCTTGTATTGTTTTACGTTCCAGAGTAACAGGCCTTTAACTGTCAAATTTAAGTAAGGTTTTCACATGTTATACAATAATTTAAGTATGCTTGGCTTGATTTACTAGAAATTGGTAAAAGTCACATAAGTAATCTATTTTGAAAAACTATGATTTGTCATTCCCGATTTATGAGACTTTAATTGTCGGATTAATAAAAGGTAATTTTACATGTCAAGGTTATGTTTGGGTCAAATTACTACAAACTGAACAATCTGTAAGGATTGGTGAATGCAGAATCGCTTTTGATTTTGCAATTTTCTGTTCTCTTAGAGTTCAGGAACTTTCAACAATCATAGTTGATGCAACATTTATACCCTTAGGATATCTTTATGACACAGATGGACGACTTCACACTAAAATCTATGACAAAAGGGATGATTTCAACTTCCCAATTATCAATTTCCCATTTCTCAGCAGTAACATACTCTCTGCCCCATCGAATGGTAGTTACATACCTCATTTGATACATTATGCTCGTAAATGTTCACACTATACAGACTTGATATACAGGAGTGTGCTCCTTACGCAGAAACTGCTCAAACAGAGTTATGAGGAGGAAATATAAAAAATGACACATGACACTCCGTAAATTTTATGGACATCATCACTATTTGGTTGATCTATACGATGTGTCTGTGCCTAAACTAACTAACGACGTGTCTCTGTATTTATACAGCCAACATTCTTGTATTTAGTTATGATGTGTCTTTTGTAATTCTGGTTGGATATTGTGTTTTGTCTTGTCGTTTGTGGTTTGAATTGTGCATTTTAAGTACATTTCACACATGTCTTATTTATCAGTATAGTCGAGTTACTCGTTGTTCGTCTACAGTGTTTTTGTTTTATGTTGTTTGTTTTCAAGTGTGTTTACTGTTAAGATCATTAATCAGCTATTTCATTTATATGGTTTTTAGTTTAAAGCAACTATATCATGTATATGCACAGGATTTTTTTTTGTTTATACACAGGTTTGATTTAGAAGAAAAAACCGACATGGTTAGAAAATACAAATAATAACACCATTACAAATACAATTTCATTTTAATATTCTTGTCATGGTTAGAAAATACATAAAATAACACCATTACAAACTCAATCTTATATTCTTGTACGTGTCTACAATAAAACAAATCTATTCTATTTTTAGAAATTTACCTGTGATAATATAAACGTCACAAAAATACGTCACTTTTTGTGGCGTTCATACATTCGTGGGACGCAAGTTTATAATTCGTTTGTGGTGCCATGGTGTGCTGTCGTAGATTCATGGGAGGTGTTTGTTGTTATTCTGTAGTTTACATGTTGTAATGTACTATAATATTATTTATTTATGTGGTTCTCTGTCCTGAGTGTTCTCGTGTTTGTTTGTACTGTATACCTGTCACGCAATGTTGTCATTTCAGTGGTATTTTTAACATCGCCATATAAGTAGGAAGTTTGGCTAACCATAAAACCAGGTTCAATCCACCATTTTTTCTTAAAATGTCCTGTACCAAGTCAGGAATATGGCAGTTGTTATCAAACAGTCAGTTTCTATGTATGTTTGCGTTTGTTTTTGTTGTAGTTCAGTGTTTCTGTTGTTCCGTTGTTTTCCTCTCATAGTTGATGTGTTTCCGTCGGTATTGGTTTGTGACACAGATTTGTTTTCGCTTAAACAATTTATGACTATTGAACAGCGGTATACTACTGTTGCCTTTACTTATGCAAGTTTTTCTACAGAGTAATTTTATTTACCTTCTAGAATATTCCGTTTTATTCTCGCAACAATTATAATACTCACAAACAGTTATATTATACGCTCTTGGCGCAGCTGCTTTTTATTTTGCGATCTTTGACAGTTCAAACTGTTGGTTATTTAAATGCCCTTTTGGATCTTATGCTCTTAAACGTTTTAAATTTTGGCCTTCTTCCAAAGTGTTGGTTAGGAGCGTACTTCAAGTTATTCCAGAAAAACACGATGTGCGCTCTGAAATCACACCATTTGGTTTTGTTTTTAAAAATGGTTTGGGGCAGAAAGTAAAAAAAAGGAAATAAAAAATCAAAGTCTAAAGAACCACAAAGAATCTAACCTGACAAATAAAAAGGAACGAATCAGATGTACGGGCAAACCAATAAACACATTTACTCGCATCGAACACTAAAAACTAAAGCTTTGGTCAATCCGACCAATACAGTTAATCGACAGGTTCTTTGTGTTCCTGTAGGCACACATTGCACCTGTTTAATAGAAGACTTGTATCGTTTAAATCACAATTTGTTGGAAAAACTTAATAAATATCCGTCTAAAATACACTGAAAAGAAAATAACACTTATAACATTTTATGCGTCCGAAGCGCTTTTCTTAATTTACATTCACCAGGAACACACTTTTCTAGATTGAATATTTCAAAGTTCCACACGGGACATTCTATGCATAGGCAACAGTAGTTTAACGATATTCAATTTTCATAAATTGATGAAGAAGAAAAACAAGGTGAGTCGACAGGGTAAGCGTCTCTGCTGTACATGCATCACCCGCCATGCGAAAAAAGTATAACAAAACTACTGAACTCACAGGCAAATTAAAAAAAGTGAAGTCCATAAAAACTGACAATACCAAACGATATTAATCAACGGAACAAGTGAAAAACAACTGCCAGATTCCACACTCAATCTACGTTCAATCAAAATACCATTATTTGGAAATATGACACAATCGGTAAAATTACAGATAAGACGACTAATCTGGTATCTAAAGATCTTAGACTGCAAAACCGTGTCACTAGTAAGCTGGCACACAAACATATCGTATCGGTCAACCATTTCGTGATGAGGACCGTAAAACTTATGTAGTGTCGATTTCATTCGTTCTTCCCATAACTCTATTGGAGTTTTTGTGTAAGGAGCACATCACTACTTATAAAGTCCGTAAAGTGTGAACATGCACGAGCTTAACGTATCAATTGAGGTATGTAAACGCTATACGATGGGACAGGTATGTATGTTACTGCTTAGAATTGGGAAATTGACAATTAGAAAGTTCTAATCATCACGTTTCTCGTAGATTCTAGTTTGAAAAATTTCATTTGTGTCCATATCGAGGTAAAGACCAAGATTAGAAGCAGACCTTATAGTTTCGTTATTATCCTCAATCTCAAGTCCTCTGGGATATATGAGATGCAAATACTCGCTGAAATATGTGTTTTTGAGTGACAGGACATCATCCATATATCTTTTACATGAGTACATGAAAGCAGGCCAGTAGAGGTGCACGATAAGTAACCATGTAATAATTGCTGTCTGTTAAAATATTAATCCACTAAACTTAACAAATTTATTGTCCCAATAAAATATCCAGCATCTGATGATATCAGCATCGAAATCTTTGTTTTTGCAATCAGTGCGGTTCTTCACACATTGGGATTGTCAATGGCCTTAGACAAAACGTTTGTCAATATGCTGTAGCTGTGAAGAGATGATTCGAGTACTAATCGGCAATAAAGTTTCCCGACAGGTTGAGGTATTCCTATGAGCACAAATTGTGTTTATTTAATATCCGTTTTAATTCAATATAATTGATATAATTAATAACGCTCACTGTTTCCTTGATGATTTTTTTGCTTTGAATAATAAAGAATTCTCTAATTACACTGCGAATATTTACCAGAGGGAACTTACTTTAAATGAATCTAATATCAACAGCAATAATTATCCTCTTCTAGAATATGATATTTTCACATGAGAAAATCAAAACGATTATTTACAATAAGAAAGACGATTTTTCGTTCCCCAGTTGTTAGTTTCCTTTCTTACGGTGTGTATATTTCCAAACTCGCTCGCTACGCCAGTGTCTCTAGTGACGTTTCAAATATCAATGAACGTAATCCTTATATGAATTGTAAATGATTAATTCAGGAATTTCGTATCTGTAAATTACCCAAAACTTCTGCTAAATTCTTTCTTAGATACAAAAATTTGATTTTGAAGTTTGGTTGTACCTTTAGAATTTTTATAAAAAACGGGATATCACATCCTAATTTTTGAAGGTAATGACGTACATCCAAACTTGTTGATCCTTTGAATAAACTTATTCTTAAAGGGTATCACTAAACACCATAGTAAAATCCTTGAATAGGATTTTTATATGTACTGTCCTAAGTCAGGAATCTGATGTTCTGTAGTTGTCGTTTGTTGATGTGGTTCATAAGTGTTTCTCGTTTTTTATATATATTAGACCGTTAGTTTTCCTGTTTGAATGGTTTTACAATAGTAATTTTGGGGGCCCTTCATAGCTTGCTGTTCGATGTGAGTCAAGGCACCGTGTTGAAGACCGTACTTTGACTTATATTGGTTTACTTTTATAAATTTTGACTTGGATGGCGAGTTGTCTCATTGGCACTCATACCACATCTTCTTATATCTATCACATTGATTTGTATTTGATTAAAAAAAACATAACTAAATATATAATGCTTTACATCCTATCGATATTAATATGTACTTATATTTTGGCATTGTAGAAGGATTT